TGCCCTTTGCCTTAGCTTTAGATATGCCTGTTGATAGAGAGCTTGACCTTTGACCTGCTTTCACGTTTCTGAGCTCTGGCGAGATACCTTTTCACAATGCTTTACTTTTTCAAGGCCCGTGCTGCTTTATTTTACAAGGCCTGAGGCCTATATCGGGTAAAGGCCCTTTTATATGTGAAGTTTCCGTCTCCAGCGGCCGTGAACTCTTCCTGGCCTTTGCGCCTTTTTGATGCCCTGATGCAGCTGATGTCCATGATCTGTGACACTGAGCGACATGATCACTCATGTGTCTTTTTTTGGTCGGATATCATGCTGATGGAAACAGATACTACACTTTATCTATTTTTAGCAGAAAGGTCGGAAAAAGTGTGAGATCACTCATGTGTCTATAAACCACCAGTACATGGCCCGCAACTGGAGAACAACAAGAGGCTCTCTCCTAAAAGGTTTGGAGGCTCGGGGCGACCGACCTAGAACGGCTAGCGGCGCCAGCCAAAGCGAAAACAAATGCATCGCGCTGGCGTTTCAGCAAAGCTTGGCGCGCAGGGGGAATCCGCCTCTCGTACCAAAGAGGCTCGGATGTGCTGGCGGTTTTAGTGAGAAGGGGTAGCCAGTCTTTCTCACCTGCAGTTCTCCGTTGTTGTCAACAAGAAACTGAGCTGGCATGGTCACATCGAGCCATGGTGGCGGGATGGTTTCTTCGTCATCCTCGTCGACTTCGCGGTCGGGATCCTTCTTCCATTCCTTGAGGTTACCGTATATGGCCTCCAAGATAACCAGTCCCTGCCGATCCTCCTCCTTCGATCTCTTCCTCTTCGCCACATTCTCCATCAATGTCTGAGCCCCTCTTGCCGACTTACGGACCTCCCTCACCTGCAGAGAGTTTTCCCACACCACAGCAAGAAGTGTGTCACATAAGGCCTCAAAAAATGCTGAACAGTCTTGACAGCATCAGAAAACAGGTACTTCTGCGGGGAAACGGCATCAGAAAACCCACAATCGGCGGACCGTCCCGGGTCAGTCTCCAGGTTATAGGGCAGGGTTGCATACCTGCCGACTGCCGACCCCGACCGCCGACCATATTGCAGCCGACCAGTAGGGCCGACCGGTCGGCGGTCTGGCAACCAGTTAGAAAACAGCCATCCACTGATTTTTTTTCAAATCTGAGTTGGGGGCTGCACTGCGCGCGCTGAGTACAGCCCAAATCCACTGAGAAACTTTTGGGGATGAGGAGTATGGGGGGG